CCCCCACACACACACACCCCGAACGGGACGGAACAGAAGCAGAAGGAGGTTCTTAAAGAGACAGAGGCCGATTTCAAGGCGTTTAGAAGAGGAAGTGATGAGAAGTTAAATTTTTTTTTCTATTTAAACATAAAAACTGCATTTTAATAACAGCTAAAGGTGACATTTAAAAGTGTTTRAATCTATGCCTGAGAATCACATAATATAGGCCCTTTAACAGTGGTGTCACTAGGCCTATTTTAGGGGGGCTGGAACCCACCTCCCCAACACTACTCCAGACATGAGAAGGCCCCTCCGACTGGGAAGCAAAAATCTTCATCTTCAGAATACAAGTCCAGTTGTTTTAATTTTTTTTCCAATGTTTTTGGGAATGTAACATGAAATTGGAGTTTTTGAGATAGAAGCCCATTTTGGTTTAGACTCCACTGGAGTTGGATGTTAACCTTTTAGAACCTTTCTACAAAACCCCATTTCAAATGATCCCACCTGAAAATTAAGTTGGGGACAGGGGTTGGAGGCGGGGTGGGGAAACTGAGAAAATTGTGCAAATTTACTTTTAAGTATTACATTGAGACTTAAGACTAAACTTAACTTTAATAAAATGCATGGCTGGATTCTGAGAATAATGAGGTTAAAAAAACAACATATAAGTATTTTAGCTCCAGCAATCAGTCACTGATTTTCTCCTGAATTTGTTTTGAGATAGATTTTTCATGGGCATTATAAACACTATGCCAGAACACACTGTGGATCATTCAAAACTGCAAAAGTCAAAAAGACTCAGAAGGAGGACAATTCTCTAAAAATTTTATAGACAAGTAGTCGCAAAAATCAGTGCAAATCATTGCAAAGACAGCCGCTTTGTTAACTTCTATTAAGATTATTCAAAGTTTAAAAAACATTAAACAAATCATGCCGCTAAATTCTTAAAAAAGTTCACCAGAACTTCAGAGTACAGATTTTGTTTTACAGTAGAATCATAATGATGCAAAGCTGTCGATTCAGTCTCAATACGAAATCAGCGAGTCTTGGCAAGAACTTTGCACACAACACAACAGAAAGCAATTTAAGTGGCATGACTGGAATGTAATTAAAAAAAGAAAAGTTTATTGTAACACCTGTGACTGTACGGTTATGACAAGCCAGTGTGCTCAKACACAAAAAGCCTTTTTCCAATTAAATACAATTTTGATTTGTTTTTAAATATATAAACAAAGTTCAAAGTTGATTTTGCACTTGCAGGTCTTCAAAAGTACTTAAAGTTCTCTAAAAATAAATTGCTACTTAAAAGCCTACTTTTACCACTCAAAACAAGGCCAGCATTTCACAAGACTGGAAAAAATGTTAAGTACAACTTCAACCACAATTTACACCTAAAAAAAGAATAAAGAAAAATCTATAGCTGTATGCATCCATAGCTCTGTGACAGGGATGTGGCTTTAAGTTAAAGTCTGTGGATCCAACAAACATGATCACTCATTTTAAACATGTTAGCTTGGATTGTCCCTTCATACTCTGAGAAACACAGAAGGGTTCCAGCTGTTGAAGACTGGGGCTGGCAGTCGAGCGTAGTTACGATAACCAAACGGATGCCTGCCAATAGGCTGGAGTAAGGTCAGAGGTCTGCTGATATGACGTCTACCACGAGTTTGAAATGGAGCATATCTTAACCAAGGGCCTCTTTTTTCTGATTCAGACTTGTAGGTACCATGTTCGTACAATTTCTCCTCAAAGGATATTCGGCCAGGCAGGAAAACAGGAGGAAATGAGCCCATTGGGTTTGCATTGTGGAGACCAGGTGGGCTGGAGTCAGACTTCAGGTCATCAGTAGATAAAGGTCTGCCATAAAATGGACCGGGTGGTTGAACTGCCCACTTATCTGGAAGTGCAAAGGACAGATGGGTCAGGCCATTTCTGAAGCATAGTTTTGTGAAAGGGTTACACTTTGAACACCTCAGTTTGCAGGATATGTTTAATTTTGACTGGAATGACAAGTTAATGACTAGTCGAGCAGGACTAGGACCTAAAGAGGATTGCTGCAATCAATAAAACTCCATGAGCTTAAATAAAATGTAGTGGTTTTCATTTATATAAATTCACGGTTCGGTTCGATAATTTAGTCTCACGGTTCGATATTTTTTCGATACATAAAAGAGAAATGTCCATGCCCTTTTAAACTTGAAATTTATAATTTTAAACATTTGTTTAACCTCAAAAGTACAGTTTTTAAATTGAATGTTGCAGAAACAACAAGTTTCTCAGTGGATCTGTGCTTAAAAATGCAGCCTAGGTGGAGTAGTCGAACACAGATCCACTGATCCTTCAACACAGAGCATCTTCAGAAGACGAGTTGATAAAATAAATTTTTTAAATCTGTATTGTTCGATGCAAGTGTGTATTGAACCTAAAGCACTGTTCGATACGGTTCAATACGGGTACATATATTGTTGCACCCCATATATATATACTGTACACACTGCTCAAAAAAAATAAAGGGAACACTACTGCTCAAAAAATAAAGGGAACACAAACAATGCACGCTAAGTCCAAGTAAATCAAACTTTTGTGAAGCACATTCAACTTTGTACAGAACAAAGTACTCAATGCGAATATTTCATTGATTAAGATCAGGAGTTAGCATGCGTTAAGTGTTCCCTTTATTTTTTGAGCAGTGTGTGTGTATATATATATATATATATACACACACACACACACCACAAATTGCACAGGGCAGGACTCCAGTAAAACAACCATATATTATAAAACTGACTAGCAAAACTTTTTAAAATAAAATTCTTGTGAACATCTTAAAAAAATTAAAGTGGCATTTTAAAATGACAGCAATCCACTTTGAGCCATTTATGTCAATTAGTTCAGAATTAAACCATTTCTCCAAAGAGTTATCTACAATATCCACTTTCAGTATTATAGCAAATAATGCAACCATAAATACTTTTAGGTTAAAAACAAACAATAAAACACTAGCTTAGCAATGACTTGTTACCTTTAACTGAAAAAGCTTGAAGTCTTGACTGTGGGGAGGCTGCTAGAGAGTGACCATCATATTCCACATGTGCAGGAAATGTTGTGGAGATTTGAAGAGCAGACAGTGGTCTCATTGTGTTTCTAGATTGTATGTCTTGAAAAGACTGGAGCAAAGGTTTTATGGCAGCTGAAGAACCAAGTACTGCATCTGCAAGTGTAGCACTGGGTAGTTGGTCCTCAGACCTGGAAGCAGGGCTTGACTTGGGATTACTGTGAAGCTCTGAAAGGATAAATCATTAGCACAAGATAAAAATGAAGGGTATTTTGTGTTCTTTGCTGCCTTTTACCTTCGTTTGTGGGATAGCTGTAACTCACACCAGTCAGCAGGAAAAGCCACACCCTATTAAAAAAAAGTCAGAACTTCATAGCTCAACAGAAACCAAGCAACTAACAGAAACTAACCAATACAGCAATCCCACTCCTTACCCCGAGGCAATCAAACCAGTCATTGTTTTGCTTGAGCTGCTGCTCTGCTACCATCAGAAAAAGCAAGTGAGAAACCTACAAACACCAAGTTAATAGCGCTGACCAATCAGAACGTTTAAGTTAATGATGCAAAGCTGTATGACATTAATCTTGATTATGGAGTCATCTACCCCTTTTCTATACAGGCTTATCTTTTTCAGGGTTCAATAATCCAAACTGCAGGTGAATTTAACCAAAGTATTAAGCATTTGATAACTAGTCAAAACTCCACACCATTTCCAATCCAGCTTTTAACTAGTTTGAAGCATTTAAAAAACAATTAGATTTAATGATTTTAACAAATTTTAAAAAGTTCTCTYTTTCAAGTTTATGGTAAAATGCATTTTAATGCATGCAGATTTAAACCAGTTTTACAACTAAATTTTACCCAGTGAACTTTTCAGAGGAAGCCACTGAAGACAATTCAAAAATGTCTGTCTTGACATGTTAAGTTCCTATAATTGTGTTAAAGTCCAAAGTCAATGTAATGAAATATACCAAGTTTTAGGTAAACTGAGCAATTATTGCTGGTACATTTACACAACATTTGTCAAATCAGTATATGTAAAAAGTTTTGTACACTTAAAAGTACCTTATAGCCATTTTGCCTAACTTAAGTTGCTGCATCACTGAGAAAAATGTAGACAGAAAATGTTTAATGAGTTTTATTGAAAAGACTTAAAGCAGTCAGACAATCTGAAGTAGCACTGTAAATAAAAGGGGGTGGGGGCAAGAAAAAGTTGTAGATAGCAATAAGTTCAGATATAGTCAAGTTTACTTGACCTTGTCACATAGGTCACAAGCCTAACACTTTCAGACCAGCTCCACTGTAGGACCAGGTAAAGCCATTGCCCCATCAATACCATAGCCAGTCCTTCCAACTCTGTGTCGTACAGGTCGTCTGAAATACTTGGAGCTCCTGGGGTCACGAAAGGGGTCCGAGTATGTACTGGTGCCATCAAGTGTACCTAGAAAATCATGCCGCAGGTTCTGCCCATGCTCAAAATTATCAGTGGAAAGGGTGTATTTGCCTGGGCGCCGCCGCCTGCTCACCAAATTGTAATCCACAAAAGGATAACCTAGCCGAAATCTATTCAAAAGTGCATGCAATGCCAGAGGGCTTCCGATAGGAAGTGTGTTCAGTGCTGGGACAGCCATTGGGAGGTACTGGGGAGGGATTTTCTCTTCAGATTCAGAATCGTGGTCTCCATGTTCGTATGTTCTCTCCTCATAAGTTAAGTCCCCTGGTTGAAGCACAGGATAAAACGAGCCTGGTGGGCTCATATGAGGACCAGGTGGTTCAGGATTGGAAGCAAACCTTGGGTCATCAGGAAATGGAGCTCTATGAAGGAAAGGACTTGGTGGTTGTACCGCCCAGTTATCTTAAAAATGTAAAAAAGGAGGAAAAAAAACAAAATCAAAAACATTACATATGACAACAAATTGACATCAAGAGTTACAATGAAGTGGGTTTTTGTCCAGTTATAAGAGATAAATCAGGTTTTCCCTGATAAATCACATACCTTGGAATGGGGGAACTTGAGGTTTCAGCTGTGTTGATCCACCATCATATTGCGAGTACACAGGTGCAGTATGCATATAGTTATGATGATCAGGTGCTTGTCTCATCTGAGCATTGGGTTGAATGTATTCAGGTTGTTCATATGGAGCAGGTTGGTTAACTGGATATGTAGATGAAGAACCAGGGCTTGCTTCTGTAAGTCCACTAGGAGGTACTCCTCCAGCAGAACCAGAGAAGTCCACATCATAACCACTATATGGATCCAAAGCTATGCAGTGAGAAGTGATCAGCACAAGCAGGGTAGGAATAGAAGTGTGATTGTGCATGTGTGTACAAGTGAGTCAACAGGTATATTTACCTTTCATTGTGGAGTAGCCATTGCTTGTACCAGTCAGCATAACAAGAAACCACACCCTAATGAAAAACAGAAGATCAAAATTACAACTAATTAAAAAACTGAACAAAAGCAGAAGCTCACTTCTTACCCTGAAGAAGCCAAGACAGCCATCATGTTGGATGAGCTGTTCTACTGCCAATGTCACCAAAACCTGGTGACTAAATGGTTCYAAGTGGAGCTGCACTGACCAATTACTACATCACAAGTTAACAATACACAGCTGCCAGGTATTAATCCTGATGGTRGTGGATACCTCACCTGAAAAAGGAGGGTTTTAACACCGGATTTCCCTTTCCTACAAAATACACATTAAATTTTTTTTAAAGTGCAATTGCAAATTTGGTGTGGTGTAAAGATATAGTACTCAGCAAGATCAGTGTTTTATACTTTGCCTTTTTTTCTATGCCAAATGTTTGATTTACCCTACCCTACTGTTTTCAGTTGACTGAATAGTAAGAAAACTGAACGTTTTGTTTAAAATTGTGAGATTTGATGCTTCATCAACATACATTTTCTACATTTTTATTTAGTTGCCATTTGGTTGACCAGCACTATGGGTCAGTGGTTAGCACTGTTGCTTCCCAGCAAGAAAGTGCTGGGTTTGATCCTCATTATGGACCCGGGGTTTCACTCTGTGAAGTTTGCATGTTGTGTATGTGCTTGCATGGGTTTTCTCTGRGTCCTCTGGTTTCCTCCCACAGACCAAAAATATGTGTATAATGGGTAGCCACCCTTGCAAAAGAGATCTGTGAACTATGGGATTTGCTTGGTTAAATAAAGGTTAATAATAATAAAAACACAATACTGTTGTTTTTGAATCTTGCTTAGCAGTGTGCTTGGCCTCATTGTTCCCTCAAATCAGCTGATTAAAATCTAATGCTTTGGGTTAGAAAAACATGATAAGCTCTAAAACAGCCTTTTCACATTATATCACA